TTTTAGCAACAAAATATTTTTAAATTAAGGTATGTACTTTTTTTAGACATGCACAGTTAAAAGTCTACACAGTATAGTGTAAACAGAATGTTTACATGCACCAAGAAACCAAAAAATTCATATGACTTGCTTTATTGCAACACTGGCTTTATTGCAGTTGTTTGGAACTGAAACTCACAATATCTCCAAGATATGTCTATAGTGATACATGCTACAACATGGCCAAGCCTCTAAAACATTATGCTAATGAGAGAAGCCAGACATAAAAGATCACATATTGTATCATTTCATTTATATGAAATGTTTAGTGGGCAAATTACCTACAGAGACAGAAAGTAGATGAGTGCCTGCCTAGGAATAAGGGAGAGAAGGGAATGGAGAGCAGCTGCTACAGGGTTTCCTTCTAGGGTGATAAAAATGATCTGAGATTAATGGTAGTCATGGTTGCACAATTCAGTGAACATAATCAATTTCATCGACTGTATATATTAAATAAGTGAATTATGACATGTGGATTATAATTCCCAAAGGCTCAGATGGTAAAGAATCTGCCTGCAATGCAGGAGACCTGGGTTCTATCCCTAGGTTGGGAAGATCCCCTAAAGAAGGAAACGGCTACCCGCTCCAATATTCTTGCCTGGAGAGCTCCACGGACAGAAGAGCCTGGTGGGGTCGCAAAGAATCGGACATGACTGAGCGACTTTCACTTCACTTCACATAGCATGTGGATTATATCTCAGTAGAGCTATTAAATAAGTTCTTTCTACCCACCTTGTATATTTGTTACTGTTATTCTTGCTCTTTCCTTAGTTGATGATATACTTTAAATCTTCATTCATAATGAGGCTTGCTTTTCATTTTAAGAAAAGAATCATCCTTTTCCTGCTACTTACACAAAATGACAGACCTAGGTTTCAACCTTAACATGACTTCTGATAATGAAAATTAACAGTCTTTCTTGGTTAGAGCCAGAACAGAGCAGAGAATCTTGCCAAGAACTCATCTTAATTAAATCCAGAAACCAACAGGACAGAAATTGGTGGGGGGGGGGGGGGGGCGCTGAGGAGACTGGAGAGCTTTCTCATAACCGTGGTGGTTCTTTCGCATATATAGAAATGTTTAAAGTGTCTTCAGCACAGCTGCAAAGTATTAAGAACATTGTAAACACATACAAGGTAAGCTTCGCTAGATACACTAATAACAGAAATGGAGAGGGAGAACCCGTGGCCAGCGGGCAGCTCTTCAGGACGGTATAGTGTGAGAAGTGGCTCCAGCGTCTCTCACCCCACGGGTCTGACGGGACAGCATCTGCAAGGTCTGTCACTACAGTCAGCCTGGTGCCTCCACATGGTCCTTGTTAAAAAGTACTGGCCTCAAGGGACAACACAGTTAAAGTCTCAGGAAACACTGTACAGACTTTTCCCTCTGGTGTGTCCCCTGCGTCCTGATCCTTTCATACAAACCCATCCGAGCATCGTACCGCACATCCAAACAAGAAACACCAGCAGGCGCCCCAGGCAAGAACTCAAATCTCTGGCAGTTTCTGACTCTTGGATCCTCACTTTTGGTCCCTGTTCTTTGCGGTGACCCCCTCGCTGTCCCTCTCCCCTACCTCCTCTCTGGTATTCCTCCATCACTTTTGGTTTTGCTTGTTCCTTGGATCCGCCTTCCCCTTGCGCCTTAGCCCAGGTTCCACATACAGGACCACCACAGTTAACTCTGACACAACTAAACATTAGGACTCAAAGGAAAGAGTGAAGCCTTGCGGGAATGAGGAACACAGAATGGGGCTCTGGGGACAGAAAGAGGCAAAAAAGAGGCACGCAGGCCACTGTCTCGGCTGAGCCAGTGACACGGAGGCAACATCAAGGCCTGATAAACCTCAGGCTGTTCCTACTGAGAGGAATATTTCAAACACAGTCTGCCCAATTAACAGCTGTTCCCCATTAAGGGAAATTTAGGGGTAATATCAGTCAACAGCTTGGCCCACATAACCTAAATGCCTAAACGTCAATGTTTCTAGCACAATCAGATATATTTGCAAATTAGACAAACATTTCCTTCCAATGAGATTTGTTTACAGTAAGTGTACCCTGGTCTGACAAAGCTTGATGTTTGTGACTGTGTATAAAACAGATTAACAAGTTTTCCCATTTCTTCGCTGTATAGAAAGCTTCTCAGGTGAAATCAAAATGTGATCTTATTAACTTATATTATTACACAGTTGCTACTTAAGAGATGAGGTGGATATGTGGAGTAGAGAATACAACAAGGCCTTCCAACGAAGTCTAGCCTTTTTAGTCTTTGGTCATTTTTGGAAGGAAGGAGTTTACTTCTGAAGGGAAAACTGGAAAATCCTAAGGGCTCTGTATGCTGGCTTATAAACTACAAACCACTACTCTATACAAGATGAATTACAGAGACAAGGGAGAAATCATCAAAACACAAAAATGGTGCACAGCTACACAGATGGGTGGTCTCAGGTCTCCCAGGAACATACGCAAAATGGAATCGAGACGCCTGAGACTGGAGTTGCTTTTCAAGTTTAGTCACTTTGAATACCTTGGCCCACCTCCCCCTATTTTTGGGGGGCGGATCTTAGTGGGATCTTGCTTCCCCAAGCACTGATTGAACCAGCGCCCCTAGCAGTAGAAGCGCCAGGTCTTAACCATGAACCACCAGGTAAGTCCCAACTAGCCCTTTTTTTAATCACTTTAATTAGTGCAAAGAAACAAAACCATACACCACATGCACCTCGAAACTATTCATGGCATTTTGAGACCTTCCCATGAGTGGCCGGAGCAGAGCAGCGGGAGGATGAGGGAGAGAGGCAAGCACGACTCACAGGAGGCTGACCAGCTGCAGGACTGCACTCAGCTTTTCTCTCAGGTGAGCAGGACAGCTCTGAGCAGGGCAGCGACACGGTACATTTTTACAGTTTTAGCAGACTGATGTGTGGCAGATGTTTTCTGGTAGGGCAAAAGTAAAAGCAGCAAGACCAGTTGAGAAAAACTGTCCTACCCCTGGAGAGCAATGATGGCTCAGAGTCTAGAACAGCCACAGAAATAGAGCAGATGTGGCAAAATATGGTTTCAGCAATGTTCCTGAGATAAGGCCAACAGGACTCGCTGATAGACTAGAACACAGAGATGAGAAGCAACAAGTGGAGACTCTGGAGATGAAGAGCGATGAGGCAAGGAAGCAGAGGCTCTATTTAGAGAAGAACTGTTGGAGCAGAGATATGAGATATAACTGGGGGCGGGGGGGGATGTGGAGTCAAGGAGTGGGGTTTGTTTTTGTTAGGTGGGCCAGTGGGATAGCTATTTGTGTGTTTAAGATAACAGATATAACAGTAGATTGGTGGAAATGAGTCGAGAGAGAGAATCAGGAGTCAGGAAAGGAGGTACTTCCATCCGTGGCAAGACAGGAAGAAATTTATTCAACTGACAAACATTTATTGAGCACCTGTTAGACATTCTTTGCTCTTAAGAAGTTCACCATCTAGTACAGGAGAAAGTAATATATATAAATCATTAAACAGCAAAGCAAGACCCATCAGAGTTATATACAAGTATTAATGTACTATACTGGATAGAGTGTTAATGTACTATGACAGACGAGGCGGGGGGGAGCGGCGGGCAGTAGCGTACTGACATCAAATGGCCAATTAACTTATCTGAATTATTGATATATTTTGCATAAATATTTTCCAAGGAATCGTTCCCAATTCTACTTTCAATAAAACAAAGACTCCTACTTTTATGCTTCTAAAGAACTATACAAATATAAAAAGTGGCATTTATTTAGTACCAGACTGACTGAACCAGTTTTAGTAGTCAATTAAAAAACTCAGGAGTGGAAGAAGATGGCGGAGAAGTAAGACAGGGAGATGAGGGAGATCACCAGCCTCTCCACAAATACATCAAAAACTCGTCAAGAAAAAAAAAAAAGAAAAACTCATCAAGATATGGAACCACTCCTACAAAGCAACCTCTAGGTGACAGCAAAAGATCCCAGGCCTCCAGGGGCACAGGCTAAGCTCCCTGGAATGAGGTAGGACTAAGATAAAGACATAAAAAGGGAAGAGACAACACAGAACTTGTGGAGGGGAGCTTGTGCCCTGAGGAAGGGAAGGCATGGTGAAGGAGGAAGAGTTTCCGTGCACTGGGAAGCTCCCTGCCAGGCAGGACCAGGGGGTGCTAAAGGGGAGAGCCTGCAAAGCCGGGACCTAGAAGGCAGAATACAGAGAAAGCTGCACTTCCCAGCCCATAGCAGCTCACAGACCTTGGCCCTGATCAGATGGTGAACTTGGAGAGCTGAGAAAAAATTTAAGTAATGTTATCAGAGACAGTATCTGTCCCTAATAATTTTTGAAATTTTACTTAGCGTTTAAATTTTTTCCCAAGTGCTACAGGAATGAGCTCAGGAATAACTTTTCTACTCTGCAATGTTAAGTAGCTAGTGACAAAGAAAGGAGTTTTACAGAAAACAAGGGCTATCATTTTCACAGCAGCAGACTTGCTGCCCTGGAGCCAGGACTTGGAAGGACTGCTCCAGGAGCCAGAGCGGGTTCACATATACCTGTGTGTCTTGTTGGGGTCAGTCACCTCCTGCATGAGATCAAAACCTGACTCAACCTCTGGGCATCCTGCTCAGGCCATCCTGCTCTGGCCAATCAGGAAAAATCCGTCAAGCACAATACACGACATGAGTAAACACAACTTTATTCTAAAAACTTGTACATATTTTCAAAATGATTCATTTCAAAAGTCACTTGTTTTTGATGCTTCAAGAATACCAGCTAGATTAGGTAAAGTTTGCTGTTCTCAAAAACTACAACTTCTGGTATTTTAAAAAATCATATAGTGATTCTACAATGGAAACGACCTCTAGAGAATGACAACAGTTCAAGATCAGAGATCTTTGAGTCTCAAAATAAAACCATTTCTGGGCTAATGTTTCCCACGTGGACAACTTAAATCCTCTCTTACTGCACCCACCTGCTGAGCCGCATCTCCATTCACCAAGTGAGGCATCATGGCAACCTCTCCGTTCAGCAACGGTGGCAGTTCCAGAGGGATCTGGTCGGTCATCATCATTGTGACGTACATTCATGGAGAATCTCCCTCAACTGGCTTCCTGCAAGAAAATCACCATTTGTAAAAAGAACTCAAGACTGCAAAAATTCACCTGTAACAAGTCAGCCATTTAAGTGCACCATGATGCGGTCAGCTGAAAACTCAAATTCTTCCAATTGGTGTTGGATTTAGCAGGGGTGAAGCAAAACCCAGGGTGGCTTCCCAGGTAGCTCAATTGTTAAAGAATCCTCCCGCCATGAGGAGACCTAGGTTCAATCCCTGGGTTGGGAAGATCCCCTAGAGACGGGAATGGCAACCCACTCCAATATTCTTGCCTGGAGAATTCCATGGACAGAGGAGCCTGGTGGGCTACAGTTCATGGGGCTGCAAAGAGTCAGACACGACTGAACAGCTAAGCACAGACAGCAAAACCCAAGAAAAACAGCTTGAAATGGGAGACCACAGACCTGAGTCTCTAAGCAGTCAAGCAAACACAACCTCCAGTTCCTCAGCCTTGTTATTTAGAAATTTATGAATAATATTAAGTCCCCTAAATCCAGAGATCTTCCTCGGAATAAAATGAGATAATTTGAGAAGATAGAAGTGTCAAATGAACATTTATCATGCTATCTCTAAGGTAATTACAAAAAAATGAAGCCAAAGAGGATGACTTCTAAGAAAAGTTTTTTCTTTTTCATTAGGATCAAAATACTGTTCATAAGCAGTTACTCCAAGCAAAGGTTAACTACCTACACTGCAGTTGTTGCAATTTCTGACCTTGCTATTAACTCAGTAATTAATCAAGTTCTAATTCTCTCTCTCCCATCATCTCCATGAACTGGATTTATCCTGTTGCCTATTTACAGCTTTATTACTTGTGCCTATCTTTAACTTTCCTGTACCTAACAGTACCTACAGTACCTTGTACAGAATAAGGCTTAAACCCACATTTCAAGGTTTCCACAGAATAAATGATTTTCATGTAGGAATTCAAAACAACACAAAGCCCACTTTCATCCCATAATGGTACCTGCCACTACTATCTAGCTTTTCAAAAAACAGCAGGAACACAATAAATTCCTATTTAAGATTATATGTATCCTTTAAGAAGTATTTACCCATCCTTCACTTATGTCTAAAATTTTTGCCACAAAAAGTTTAATAGCATTGACAAAGGAGAATAAACAAATACACACATGCATATGCTATTTTAAATCAGTTCAGAAATAAACTGCCATATAGTCCATTTTAAATTTTTTCTTATTTATAATAAAGTTCTCAAAAAGTTCAAATTCAAGACTTTTGGGAAATGAATCCTTTAATACTCAATATCCAAATCAGGCAAAATAGCAGGTCAAGTCCTTTAATGACTATCTCTAATTTGTCTCAAGTGTGACAGAAATATTTCTTAAAATCTCCATTCTGAACATTAAATATATTTCCCTCCCCTCAAGCCCACCCAAAAGAAACTCCTTCCCTGGAAGTATCAAATGATGCATACGAGCCACCCAAGAGATTATAAATTTTTTATTTTAAATAGGTAAAATTTTACACTATTCATTATAACCCCATTTGGAAAAACTAATTATTTTAAGTACCAAACAACAAAGTCATGTCCCAACTAGGGAAGCACATTCTATAATAACAAGTCTTATAATTCAGTGTTAACAGTACCATCATGCTGTTTTATGAGGCAATTACTCAGTTCCTAAGCAAATAAAAGTACAAAACTCAAAACCCAATAGTTTATCCTAATGTAGGAAACAGAACTGTTTCACAGTAAAATTAACCAAGATAACTTCCACTGACACCATGAAGCCATCAACTGCTTGATCTTGAGTAGTACTACTAACAGAGTACTAATGTCCATTTCAATTTTATTTCAAATATACTTAACCCTACGCGTGCACAAGGAGACGAATGATTACTTTTCCTCAAACTGATATTACACAGGCCTATTTCTTAAGCGTGGTGTTTTATCTAATGATTCTTCAACACTGGAGGTTGAATAAACAGGGCAGTAATTTACATGAGGGGTCTGAGGATAAAGCATCTGCATGTAAAGAAGCACTCCACACTCACCCCCACCTTTCCCTCTCTCCTTCCCAAGGAAGAGTCCCAAAGCACTTGCTCGGGATGGAGACCGTGGCTCTGTCCTCTGTCCTCCCCTCTGCTAAAGCAGTGAGCACCAATGCCTTCTCCCACAAGGGACAGTCCTGATCAGCTCACAGACAAGCACAAGGACGGAACCTACTCTCTCTTCATTCAGTGAACACAGGCACTGGTAGAAGGATATAACTGTGATCTAGTGAAAAAAAATTCAGGCATTCCTAACCACCCATCCCTAAGACCAAAGAATGTCTCAACTCCAACATTAATACCTAACACTGACAATTCCAATTTTAAGCATCTTCTGGTTGGCGTCATGACAAAACAATAGCATTTGCTATCATCAAAATACAGCAATCCAGCCCCACAGGCTGGCGCTCTGAAGCACAGGTGTCAGGTCAAAGTTGAGGAGTTAAACTCCAGGTTCTGCGACTGTGGGATGAAAGGATAGATCACCCCCCTAGTTCCATGAAAGTCTTATAAATGTAAGATGAGAGAAGGTGGGAACCCACACAGAGTTGAAAAAAATCCCAGAGAAACAAAGTCCGCTGGCACAGAGAAATAATTGTATTTGCTTTTGAAAATCATATAGGCAACTTTGGGAATGCAACTATTCCATACAAAAAAAAAAGGTGCCTGAGTCCTATATTTCTTTCCTACTAGATGATAGATTATCCGCCTCACAGATGTGCAGTGGTTGCTGCAAATTACTGAGAGGGGAAGATGGGAAACTGTGCATAAAAACAGTCAACTATATATACAATCAACTCCTTAGATAGCATACAGTGGGAACTTATAAACACCATGCACTCCTAGTGCCCCGACTCAACCAGCCAACAACTATACCTTTAATCATGGAGAGAAAGGGAAGAATGAATAAAGTGAACTCTGCCATAGAGTCTCACTTCTCATAACCAAAACTGTTAATCCTCTTTACCCTAGGACACCAGCTTGCTAAAAATCCAACACCTATTTTTTAGTCCCCAAGAGATCCACCAAAGGCAAACCAAATTTTATCCTGCCTAGAATACAAGGTTTCTAGATCTAGATGGGGTGGTTTACACAGTCAACAATGTTTAAATACCCCTTTCTACACTCCATGCACATACAGAGGATAGTTCATTTGCCTGGAATTCAAGGGACATACAAAAAAAGTAATAAATTATCTCTAGGCAAGATAATGCCCAGCTATTTAACAAGGCAACTGCCTGGCAACCGGTCCTTAAATCATCATGGAACAGAAACCATTTAGTGCCATGGACTATAGAAAGGACAAGAGAAAAGGCAGGAAGAAGAATTATAAAAGAATGAAAACCATAGATGCAAAACATAAGACTTAGGGTACAAAGCAATACTGTACTATGGTTATCACCTAGTTTTGATTATTTCCTAGGGATGGAGATGGGTTGGGAGGAAGTAATGACTTTTCCAAATACAAAGTCAAATGTTCAGGCTGCAAACTGGGAAAACCACTCGGCCCTAACCATTGACAGTTAAAGAAGGTTAAGTCAGACCAAGAGACCAGGGAAGGCTTGCCACGCATCAGTGATTAAATGGTGACCACTCCCCAAAAAAGTGAGTCTCCTCTGTTTTGGCTGGTAATCCAAACAAAACTACACATGTACTCAATTTAAACAGGTGTGCCTCAGCCCCACTGCTTTGAGGAGACCTGGAGAATGTGACATGCCTAAGAAAGATGACCGAACTTTTTAAATGGAATTTTTAAAATGAAGCAATGAATGTGGAAGGCTTACTATCCAAACAGTTAACTTTAAGGACCAAAAACTTTATTTGCCATGATTGTGGATGGAAATGATACATTTTCTAACTTCATTATAGAGCAGGCTGGTCCATAATTTTATTTTTTCTTAGGGATGTAGGGTCACTGTTTACAATACTGTGTTCAGTCACAAGGTGATGTAGTAGGGAGTTCCTAGGCTTTCTGACCTTAGCTACTCAGAGAAATTTTCCCCAACTTTGAGTTCTTCTGTTTAAATTCTATGTTTTTTCCTCTCTTCCTCATTAGGCTGTACCTCAAACCACACCTCCTCAACTCTGAGAATCATACTCAATTTGCTATCTTAATCTTCCTTGGGCTGGGAAGCCAAGTTGTTAGTTCCGTACACATAGAGGCATGGTCTCTGGGGTCTCAGAAGCTTCCCTCTGTGCCCTGCGTCCTGATCCCTGGATAACTCAGCTGTAACTGCCTTCCGTGTCAGTCAGAAAGTCTCATGAGAAATCATCCCGACAAAACCCTCATTATCCTGGTCTGGGTTCCTTCTCCCCTAGACAGATGTGTATCTGAGTAGGCCAAAGCGATCACAGAACGCATGCATTTTACTCAAGGCTCTTCCACATCCACACTGTCCTCGCATACAACTGAGTTTTCACAATAAATTCATTCTTAGATTTTCCAGGCAAGAATACTGGAGCAGGTTGCCATTTCCTTCTCCAGGAGATCCTCCCAACCCAGGGACTGAACCCGGGTCTCCCGCATTGTAGGCAGACGCTTTACCATCTGAGCCACCAGGGAAGTCCCTTTTACAAATAAAGAATCAATAAATATGCTACAAAACTAATCAGAATAAACCAATGGAAAACAGATGACATCTACTACAATGTTTTTTTTCTAATTCTCTGAATTTTTTTTTCCACACACAGAGTTCCAAGGTTTCACTCCTATTCTTTTTAATTCTTACTTACCCATGCTTCCAGTTCAAAGAATTCAGTGACAACCACAGGCCATCACAACCTCTCCCCTAACCACACATCCTAACAGAAAACCACAAGTGCTTCATGCCTGGCCAGTTCTGTTCTTTTGATTGACAGGGAAGGGATGCCACGTGAGCTCTTGTGGTTGACTTCCCTCTCTCCTGAAAGTAAGTCGTGTGTTACCTTCCTTACCTGCAGGGAGGCCCAGAACC